AAAACAGATGTTTGTCCGTACCTGGTCTTCATGATCTTTAACATAACCTATCATCAAGTGCACATTTACCAGTGTCAAAGACTTATTTTAGACACAACTTTAAAACTTGACCTCAAAACTTAAATAGAGTAGTCGGTGCAATAATCAGGACATCGTATAATAATGTTTTCCCATGACTTGTAGTTTGACCTCTACAATGTTACCATGAACTCCTCCTCTTGAAGAAGTGTGGTCAGAGACCGATAATGACTTTGTATAATGAGTTACATTCTTCTTCTCCTTTTTTTTTTGTATTAGGCCTGCTTTCTGAAAGATCTCTGTATTGTACAGGGGAAAAGTGCTAGTCTCTTTTATCTCTAGAAAGGGGAAAAAAAGAACCCTTGTGGCTACAGTTTGATCAATTAAACTCCTGAAAGGACCCCCCCCCTTCTTTTCATTCCTCTGCCTGTGAGGAATATAAAGTTATCTGTCTTTCCAAGCAATATGAGGAAGGAAATAAGTAGTTTGTCTATAAAATTGTTCAGGTACTTTATCAGAGTCCCAGTAGGCCCGGAGGCCCTGACACTGTTCAATGTGGCCCCCCTGTACTACCCCCCCCCCCCCCCCACACACACACACACACACACACACTCTGTCTACTCTGTCTCTGCCAGAGGCCAGCTACTCCATGGGTGGGGTGTACGCTGCCGGCTTCCCACCTCTGTGGAATTGATGGGGCTTGAGCCCCAAGTGAGGCTATCGATTTCAATCAGAGGCCTGGGAGATAGGAGCTGAGTGATGCTGTAGACTTTAAACAGTGGTCAGCCGCCTTGTTGGGCTTTGACAGAAAGATGCTGCAGGAGGAGCCACTTGCTTTTGATTAGAAGTCAGATAAAGACAGACTGAATTACTTGGAGAGACATATCTTAATCTTCTGGTTTGGAGTTTTACTGTATGTTGGAGGATTCAGGTGGGAAGTAAACGAGAAACATGCCGGAATAGAATTGGTCTTTTTACACCCAAACTACAGCACTGTAAAAAAAAAAAAAAAAAAAAGCTACAATCAAAGAAGTACATAGCAAATATCTGTTTGACCAGTTTAAGTACAAACGCAGATGTTGCAAAACCCATGCAACTAAAAGTTCTGTTTTTTTATTTATTTATCTATTCATATTTACTATTTAAAATTTTGGTCCTGAAATGATTTGCAACCTGGTCTGTTAGAAATCGGAGTTCATGTTGGAAATGGCTGTCAGCTAATTTTACCTCAATATCTGTAAAATGCACTGAGATATAACCATTGAGTAGGCCAGGGATGGCCACCACCAGGGCCAAATCATGATATTTAAAGCAATTAAAGGGCCACATAGAGAACTTCAAAGTATTTTTCTTTTAAGATGGATAATCTGGAAGACTTTTTTCTGGCATTTCCTTGTTGTAGCATAGTTAGCATGCTTGATGAAAACGTCTTTCCAGTAATCTTTAGGAAGACGAGACATAGACTCTGGAAACTATCTTATGGGACAATATATTTTTGTTAGTGTAAATATGCAAAAACAACAAAAATGTTTGACTATTTGAGTCTAAGGTTCAAGAGTGTTTTGGAAAGACACCAACTTAAAAAAAAAAAAAAAAAAAATAATTTATTTATTTATTAATTAATATATATTTATATATATATATAATATATATATACGTCAAGGTAATTTTGGTAAATTACCATTTATAGTTTGTCACTATAAATGTTTGTGAGTTAGAGAGTTGTTTTTTCTCTCAGAGAGGAGCCTGCAGGCACAACTGATGACTCCAAGGACACATCAGAGCTTGTAAGCTGGAAAGCCAAGGTCGTCTTGACCTTGCCTCTGTCTGATAAGCGTGTATTATAAAACACTTCCTGCCTCACTGTCCGGTGCAGATTCTCATGGTGAGGCTCTGAGCGTGTCACTTTGTACATCTGAAAGCCTGTTTCACGACCGTCTGCCCTTGCTAGTAAAGACAGGTGTAACATCTTCTCTTGTCCTCAGAGCAACTTATTTGAGAAAGTACGTTAATAATGGGATAACTATTTATCCATCAATATATATCTTAGCCTGTCTTAATCTAAAATTTTGCTATGTGTTTGTCTAACATGCTTAATTTAGACTTCCTTAAGTTTGATTGATAAAATGCAGGTTTTCATCAACTTAATCAAAAGTTGATTTGTTTGCAAGTAGATACTGGGGGCAGGATAGAGGAACACTTTAGGCCCTCAGGCCGTATGTTACCCACAGCTAATATAGGCTAACATCAGTTAACTGTAGTGGCCATCTTGAAAGCTAATGAGTTGCAGATGTGCATTCAATGATTAATTCAATTCATTTTATTTCTACAGCACCAAGTCACAGCAGAAGTCATCTCAGGGCACTGAACAGAAACATTCATATACATAAAAAGTCAATTAGTAAAGTTATTTATGAAGCAGCAGATTGCATTGAACCTTCATTTTGTCGCAGTCTCTCATCCTGAGCAAGCACAAAGGCAACAGTGGAAAGGAAAATCTCCCTTTTAACAGGAAGAAAGCTCCAGCAGAACCAGGCTCAGGCTGAGCAGCCGTCTGCTTCGACCGGCTGGATTACTATCTTAAAGTTTGAGTACAATTCATCCAGTGGTTAATGAGCTATTTGGCCAACAAATACCAGGTAGTTAATTTTGTGTGCAGAGAGTGTAAGTTTGAAAGATCCTTCATCGTATCTTTCTGACAGTGTGTCAGGTGTTTGACTTGATGTGCAGAGGCTGATAAGTTTGAGGTGACACATTTTGTTCTATCAGAGTTCGCAGGAAAGCGTGCACACGCACAGACACACAGTGTTCCTGTTTTTCTTAAACAGGGAAGTTGGTTCACGCAGTGTGAGCGCTGCAGTTTTTCCATCTTTCAGAGCTGTTTGCATCAAGGCCAGGAGATTAAACTTGTGGGTTGAGAAGAGCGTGCTGTCTCGCTTGGGGCCCCCCTGGATGCCAGAGTCCTGGTTTTCATTGTGCAGGGTGAGATTTCTCCTGGATGTTTCAGTCTGTGTGCTACAGGTGGGTGGTTCACATCATGTAGGTGGCAGCCGCTGTGGATTTTATGTAAAAGTACAGAGGAGGTGGCTGTGGGCAAACTGCATCACCATCAGTGTTCATTACTCTGCTCAATCCCACACTCTTTAAACTCATTTATGCACTTAGATGGGATTTAAACAATAAGTAGCATCCTGTAGGTGTTTTTGCACATACAGTATATAAATATCAGTAAAGCCAGTTGTATATTGAGACAAAAAAAGAAAGAAAGAGCGAGGATGGTCTTTGGAGATATTGATGTTTGTCAGTTTGCCGTGGGACGATTATGTCAGATGTTTAGTGTTGAAACCTATTCCAGATCAAATGACTCATTAATTTCACTCATTTTTTCAGGCAGAAGTAACTCTTGTGTAGTCACACCAGATTCAGTGATGCAGGGAGGCGAAATAAATAACATTTTTAATAAATTGAAAATTTCCCTTTACACATCACAGGAAAAGTGAAACAGATGCAGCATTTCTAAGAATACTTGTATTCACTGTTTGACACAACTTGTGTGAACGCTTCTGAAGGATTCACACTATTGTGATCATCTTCCACAAGTTTTTGGTGATTCTCGTCCAGCAGTTTTCAGCTATTTCAACAAATCATAAATCAAAATGTTCACCTGTTTCTGGACAATCCGGCTATGACTTTTGGTTTTGGTGCAGCTTTAGCTTTTTCAAATATTTAGCCTTTTCTGCCATTTTTTTTTTCTATGAATTTAGCTCATTTTACATCCTTCAACTCTTTAGATCTGTTTACAACCTTTTACTGCTCCTTTCACATTTTGTTCTGCTTCAGCTTCTTTCAGCTTCCTTGTGCAAATGTAAACTTTTTTTTCAGATATTTTCAGCTACATTCAGCTGTTTTTCAGCTGTTTTGCGCTCCTTTCAGATTCTTTCTGCTAACTACAACATTTTTGTGCATCTTCTAACTTCTTTCTGCTAATTTCATCTTGTTTGCTCCGTTCAGCCTTTTCCTGCAAGTTTCAGTTTTTTCTACTATTTCAGCTACTATTTAGCTGTTTTATGCTAATTTAAGCTTTTTCAGGGAATTCCACGTTTTTGCACTCATTTAAACTTTTCCAGCCTAATTCAGCAAAAATGTGTTCTCGCCCCACCTTTTGTCTAATTTCAGTTTCTTTCTGCCTTGTTTTTTTTTTTGGGGGGGGGGGGGGGGGGGGTCGTTTTGTGCTAATTTAAGCTTTTTGCAGATAATTTCCATGTTTTTGTGCTCATTTCTGCTTCTTTAAGCCTAATTGGGCAAATGCGTTCTTTTTGCTTTCTTCTGCTAATTTAAGCTTGTTCTACCTTTTCAGCATTTCTTTAGCTAATTTCAGCTGTTTTCAGACTAATTCAAATTTTTGTGATAATTTTTGCTACTTTCAGCCTAGTTAACATTTTTATGTGAATTTCAGCTTGTTATGCTCCATTCAGCTTTTTTCTGCTAGTTTCTGCTATTTCAGCTACTATTTAGTTGTTTTTATGCAATTTTATTTAGCCTTTTCAGCTAAACACACGTTCTCACTCATGTACCACATGTGATGTGAATGACAATAAAGAACCTTGTACCTGGAACAACTGTAACTCTTTCATCCCTCAACATTAAAGATGATTTAATGTAAAACTCTGGCATTAAAGATGGCTGTGATATGCATTCCTTCAAGAAGTCCCAGACCTTCAATTATTAATTACAATCTCATTAGTTTTGGACTGTGGGTTGAATAAAACTTCAGTATGAAATAAACTGAAATCTTCTGTTGTTAAGAATTTAGTTTTACTAAGTTGAGTGTTATAGCAATAACAATAATGCTTTTGTTTACATTTTTTAAAGGCTCAAACTAGTGTGAGGTGTTTGTATCTTAAAGCCTGCATGAAACGCATGAATGAGTTTATTAGTTAACTCTGTTTCATTTTCCTCTGTTTCATGTGGACGTAGGCTTGATGTTCAGGCTTGTGCTGCTGTGGTGCTGCCTGCTGCAGAGCAAACATGAGACCACAGAGGGGCATCGTGGGACCAACCGCCATCTCTTCTACGTTGTTCGTATGGACGGAGGCACCCGGGCTGTCAAAGCTCTGGCTGAGCAGCACGGACTGGAGTTCATACAACGGGTCAGTGCATGTTTAAAACTCCTGTTATTGCCTCCACCGATGGGGATGCAGCTGCAGAATCCTGTCACCGAGGGCTTTTTTCTTCTTTTCAAGAGCTGCCAAAGTGCTGACTTCTATTTCCTACTTGAGAGATATCTGACTTTCATCAAATTACAGCAGCATTTCTGAATATTTTATATCTGATCAAAGCCACACAGGGAAGCACACACACATAGAAGAAGCTACATAATATGCTCCCCAAAAAGGAGAGCGATGCGCATGTACATAAAATTATCTGAAGCCAACTTGTCTGGTCCGTGAGAAATTCTCATACGTGGTGACGGCTCCAGCTGAATGCCGCTGGAGATGATTGGGTCTTTAACTGTTTGCCTGAGTTTTAATCTGCCATGCTGAAATCCTGTCTCTCTGAGGACTGCATGTGATTTATCCACATCAATACTCCAAAGGTTACTTTGGTTGTTGGGTCTGAAAGTGTGTCAGCTCTCCTAGAAATGTTCTCGGTTTCACTTGAAACGAGGCCACGAGGCAGGTCTGGGATGATGTGTTAAGTTCTTCTTCTGTTAAGAAAAGTTGAAGATAAGTGTTTGAAGGTATGAGATATTTAGCCTTTTTTTTTTTTTTTAATATATCTATTAACACAACTTTCTGCTTTATCCTTTTATATCATGTCTTAAGGGAAATATTTATTAAACTTTTTAAAAGTATTTTTTAAATGCATGTTAATGGGGTATGTTGTTGTATTTAATTTAACAGTTTAGGGAATTTATTGTGACAGTAGCAGATGGTGCAGTGAAGCGCTTTGATACCTAATATGAAAACAGTGAGAATAAATACTAAAATGTACTTAACTTTTTCTTTTTAAAACAATATTACAAACTACCGTACTATCTACTAATGCAGATAATACCTATCAAGTATCAATATCAAGTTTCTGCCACTTATTTCAAAGCCAGGTTGTGGGGGCAGCAGCTTCTGCAGGGCGGTCCAGACATGTCCTTTCCTGACCACATCTTCCATTCTGGGAGGATACGTGTGTTTGATCTCCCCTGATCCCAGGCCATTCGTGAGACACAGTCTCTTCATCTAATCCTAGGTCTTTACCGGTATCTCCTCCTAGTTGGATATACCTGTAACATCTCTATAGGGAGGCATCCAGGGGGGCATCATTACCAGATGTCTGAACCACCTCAATTGACTCCTTTCAATGTGGAGGAGCAGCAGTTCTACTCCAAGTCTCTCCTGGATTACTGAACTTCTTACCCTATCTCTATGGAAAAGATCAGCTACCCAGCTGAAAAAACTCACATGGATAATCTATATCTGCAATGTTGTTTTTCCTGTCACTACCCAGAGTTCATCACCATAGATAGGTGAGACAGAAATGCAGACTCAGCTCACTCTACACCACAATACACCAGCACAGAGCAGCAATATTGTGAAAGCTGACTGATTAATTGATCTAGCGCCACATTTTTCTCTCAGTTGTGAACAAAAAGCTGAGATAGTTCTGACCAGTGGTGGGCACGGTTCCGCTAATCCGCTAATATCGGAGCTAACTTTCGATGTAGAGTATTAGTGTTTTTGCTAACTTTTAAACCCTTTAGCAGAATTAGCACTTGCTAAATTTAAATCCGGTACGTTCAAGTCCACAATAAAAAAAGACATTTCTCCACACTAAAATCATTCAAGACAATGGTGGTTTACATAGAGCTATGCTACACTATGCTATGCTATGCTATGCGGAGCTTAGAAATGCTAAGCACCTTCTGGTGATGTCACTACCCTTGTAGTGCTCCCCACTCCCCCCATAACTACCGTAAACACTCATGGTGTCAGTTTACAGCCAGCAGAGACTTAAATATAAATTTCAAACCAAACCAGAACAAGAAAATAACATGAAAAACCAATTTTCACACTCAGAAACATTGTAAACAGTCAGAAACGTTACACACGTACTTCCTACCCAGCATGCTTTGCAACGCGCACACTGTCTGGGATGTGACTCTCTCCCACATTTCGCACATCTTTAATGCAAATAGATTTTTTCCAGAGAATATTAATTCTCTGTTACCTTGATATGATTCTGTTATGCTGATTCTTCAATATAAAGAAGACAAAGCATGTATGCCTTTCAAAAGTTGTCCCCCTCCTCATAGTCTAGTGGCTAAGTCCATTGATCCCTGACACAAGGGGAGAGCACCTAAGGTCTAACAGAGTTTAGAGAATACAACAGGAGCACCACGTGACCTGTGGTCGTGGTTAATTTTTCATTTTCAATTTTTTTATTGTGTATGAATGCATGTCAGATGTTTAGCAACCTGTTTTTATAGCTCAAATGGTTTTATGTTTTTGTAAAAAAGAAGAAGAAGCTTTTGTTGTTTGTCACATGAGCTTGTGTCGAGGAAGTGAATGAAGGCCCTTTAAGAGGCAAAAACTTGGCGGGGTGGGGTGGAGAAACATGTTCAGTCAACGCTCCCGTTAGTTTCTGCAGGACTACCTGGTGAACCTGGTAATGAATGTGTGATTTTCATTTTATTTTACTACAGTACATTTGACTATATCTTGAGGGACCCCCTTAAAAATTCTGTGTTACTGGAATGTGTGTGTGCAGTTTGACAGCATTGACTGGAGTTATTGGGAGTGTCTGCCGGCCTGATGTGAGGCTGTGTGCTTAGTCCCCTCTGGGGAGTGGGGACGCCAGCTCATTGTAACCTTGGCCCTGCTGCTCTGTTGCCGCCGCCTGGATCATGAATAAAACATGTCTTTGACCTTTATCAGGAGCGTATTGGACAGTCCACCCCCTTGTCTCACTCTCTGCCTGTCTCTCTCTCTCTCTCTCTCTCATTGTCTCTAGTGTGCACACATGAGCACACCTGCTTTTGTCGTTGCCTTTATTCCAAGTCAAACTTGGTCTCTTGATGCAGTTTAACACGTATCTACAAAACACATTTTCTATGTTCTGTCTTTTTTATTTTTAGACTCAATATATAGTTGTGCATATTAAATGTTGGGTTAGCTACTGCAGTTTGAATTGGTTACATGAGTAGCAAGATGCAGCAGTAGAATCCAAAAGTTGCAGATTGCCAGGGATCTACATTAACTGTGTTCTCTAAACGTGTCCGTCCAACAACATTAAACCCATGGAGGGGCTCAGTCAGTCCCCCCCGCAGGTCCAATCTGCTGACTGGCTTCCTTTGCATGCTTGTCGCCAGAGGCTGATGCTAAATGTCAGCAACACTAAATCGTCTTTGTTAAGCCAAACCTGTTTTAATTGTGTCATCTGTGATTTGTGCTCTTCCTGCAGCAAATATTGTGCCTTAAGAAGAAGCCAAGGCTTTACAATTTACTGTGATATACTTCATAGTTAAGAAAAAAAAAACATTAAAGTGGAATGAAAAGTGTGACAAGCTCAGTGCCAGCTGGGGAGGATTGTGATGTTTGCTGGCATTGCCTGTCTAATGCTGCGTGAGTGGAGAGGGAATCAAATGTCTCTGTGCTGGCACTCAACATATTGTTGGACTTTTTGATTTAGTGCACAGCATCCAGGAAAATGTCAGCACATGTCTTCATTGTGCAGTCTTGACGTCTCTATTTTGTAACCATAAAATGGAAAAGAAAAACTAAGTAAAGTACCTGAGATGCCACACAGACATATTTACTGTGATGTTTTGCTGTTCCATCCATCCATCCATTTTATTTTCCGCTTCTTCCTTTTGTGTCTGCGAGGTCACTGGTGCCCATGTCCAGCAGTCACTGTGTGAGAGGTATGGGACACCCTGGACAGGTCTCAGTCCATCACAGGGACACATAGAGACAAACGACCATTCACTCTCTCACTCACACCTAGGGACAATTTAGAGTTACCAATCAGCCTAACATGCATGTTTTTGGTCTGTGGGAGGAAACTGGAGCACCTGGAGAAAACCCACGCATGCACGGAGAGAACATGTAGACTCCACCCAGAAAGTCGCAGGCCGGGATTCAATCCGGCAACCTTCTCGCTGAAAGGCAACAGCTCTACTAACTGTTTTGTTGTTGCAAATGTGGTTTTTTTTTTTTTGGAGGCAACGGATTGAAGCCTTTCCTGTTTGTCTTCATTTTCTTTTTATTCTGTGTCATATATCATATTTCTAAAAATTTTAAAAATTGCAAAGGTAAATATTTGTAAAAAGTCCTTTAAATTAAATACCTAATAAGTATTGAAATAATACATATCGCCTGCTGCTTTTTACGGTTAGAATTTCAGACTAACGTTTTTTTAAGGAGGAACGACAGAGTTGGAGCACTCGTGCAATATAACACGTGCGCTGTACCCCTCCGAGTATTTGCTGTGAATGACTCTCAGCTACTACCACATCATAGTTTCAGTTCAGTATCTGTAAAACTGACAGAAGTAAAAGCATTTTTACGTTGACTGAACTGTATTAACACAACTAGTTAAATGGTTGTAAATTTACATAAGTGATTACTTAATGAGTTTTCTTATATTTCACTCAGCAATTCAGGAAATATTTTGCTAGCAGACAAAAGGGTTCCAGCTGACAGTTAATGCAAAATATTTGATCATTAATATTTGCAGTTAGTCGCAGTTGAAGTACCGGTATATCTTGTGAATGTCTTTCAACTACAAACAAACCAAATTTTAGGACAATATCTATAAAATTTACTAAATTATTCTTGTTTTCTAAGGTCGGTTTATTGTGACAGCCATCTTGAATTCCATTAGCCCCAAAAGTTCATTACAGTAGTTGTAAAAGTGCATCCACTGATTGTTTTCTAAAAGTTGTATTGAAAGCCATTCAGTAGTTAATGAGATAATTTCCTAACAGACGTACAGAACTGACTGAAATTGACTAAAAGTTTAAAGACCTTGCAGAAGCTGTTAGTGTTCAGAATATTGGTTGGAAATCAGTGTCAGCTATGACTACACTAAACTTTAGGCCATTTTCTGTAAAACTGACTGATTTATATCCGTTTGTGTGTTTTTCAGTTTTGTTGGC